TGCCATTGGTCCAGAATGTTTGCCACTATATTCTCATTTGACCTATTTTGACTGCTATATCGTCACAAATTGTGGAAATAACCCATCGAAGGTTTTAAGAAAATGCACAATATGACATAAGTGAAGTCAACTTTCACTATTGTCTGACTGTTATTAAAAAAAAAAAGCATTTTACAAGTGGCCTAACTTTTATTCTAAATCTTGAACCTTATATTTGAGAGAGAAAAAAAAAAAATGACCAAAACGTCTGAAGCACCAATAGCGGCTTATAATGTTAATTTTAATACTAATTAGGCTGTGTATAAAAAAAATGCAACAAAGTTTTCAGGGGTAGCTTAAAGAATGTGTCAGTGCTTTTTGTGTAAGGGGTTCATCAGAATAATCAGTCCAAGGCATTTAAAAAATGTGGAAAATTAATAAAAAGCTTTTATTGACATGGCTGTTCCTTCAAATTGCGGCTACATCAGGTTATCCTGACGAAGTCAAGTGTTATCAAAACGCGTAGGTGCAGTTTTTAGAAATAGCCATGTCAGTAAAGGCTCTTAAATATTTTTCCACATTTTTCGAGTGCCTTAGACTGACTTTGCTGTTTATCCTCATTAGGCTGTTGTTGTTAGATGAATTTTTAGAAGTGAAGCTCTTTTATATTTGTTTATTATAAATCTTTAGGAAATTTTTTGGGTAGATCAAAAGTGGAGGATACAACAAGCTAATCCAGCTTAAAATAGTGCTTAAAATGCCACTTATTGCTGTATTTAAACATCATAATTAAATAGAAAATGGGTTGAATAACTGCAAAAAAGTCCACATTTTGAGAAAAAAATAACCACCCCTTTCACCAGGCTGGCTACGGGCCTGTATTCCAATAATTATTTTGGCATAAAAGGAAAAATCATTCATTTGGGCCCATACAGTAGCTGAAGATAACTGCTTTTGTTGTCAAGGGTCCCAAATAAATGCATCATTGTATTAGGGCCTACTCACACTATGCGATCCATACCGTGCCCAGGCCCGTTTCCCGGATCGTTTGAGAAGTGTGAGTGCGCTGAATTGGGCTCAAGCACGGTACACTTGGCCGGGCCTGGCCTGGTTGGAAGAGGTGGGCCTGAGCGCGGTTCACTTGGGCTTTGTGTGAGTGCAAAACGCGCCAAAGCCCGAAACTGAAAGCGAGACGTGACTTTTAAGGGACTGTTTCATATGGATTTATTGGCGTAGTTTATTAAAGACGTAAACCCCTCACTACACGACAGCTGCGCGCCTTCAGCAGACCTCCTCTTTCCTGCAGCACGAGGGCTTTATGACTGTTTATGAGCGCCAAAATTGGCGGATCTGTTCGGCAAAATATCTGACTATGTGTCACCGCATCCCTAAGGACTGTTTGGCGAAATATTTGACGGCATATCAAACGACTGAAATGATATAACTAGAGAAATCTCCACTGTGCTGCTGAGTGAGAGAGCGCTTCTCACTGAACAGCGCAGCAACGATGACGTAGGCATGCCGAAGCCTGTTTGTGGTTGTTCGGGGGAGACGGGAGGGAGGACAAGCTGCTTTGGCCCGGTTCGAGGCAACTGTACCTAGTATGAGTAGGGCCTTAATCCCAAAGCTTGATCTCAACGCTTGCAAGTCTATAACTTTCTCAGGGCCGCAAAGAAGAACTGGAAAAGTGTTCTTTTGTCATCAACAAGGGATTCGACCCAGCTTACACCTGACATTGTTCTCTATTCTCTATTACATGATTTATCACAAGACGTCTGGCGTACCGTATATCAGATATCCCTTGAAGAGCGTCTTTGCTTGTCCTGTGGGATGCTATTGTAATGTTTGTCTAAGTTTGGCATGCCGTATTTATCTTTTGCTTTTTTCTCTCTTCAGGCAGGGATGATCAGGACGGAGCAGGAGGAGTTTTTCATTGAGCCGCTGGAAACGGGACATCATGTGATGGAGCAAGAGGAGGAGAGCGGTGGCCGTTCTCATATTGTGTACCGTTCAGCCGCTGTGAAGAAGCCTCCTGTTAGCTCACTAGCTGCAAACTTTCACTCCAGAGGTTAGTTTTGTTTACCGACTTCTGTTTGCGTTTACCTGCACAATCTGCTTGTGTATTCTGATACAATTATCTTTTTAAAGGCCATTGCTGTGTAAAAATATCTAAAGTTTTTGGTAAAAAAAAAAAAGAGCGGTAGCTGTAGTTGCCAGAAATTTACCCTTAAAATACGATAGAAAAAAAGATTTTTCTTTATTTCTCTTTAAGTAACTTCTGTTAGTGTGAGCCTCTGTATTCTGTATAAATTATTTTTTTAGGACTAGTTTTGTAATAAAAAAAAATGAGTAAAATGTTCAGTAAAAAACAGTAGCTGTTGTTGCCAGATCTTTATTGTTAAAGGGTCACGAAACACCAAAACACATTTTTTGAGCTGTTGACAGTCGAATATGTGTCCCACACTGCTAAAAACACTATTAGGACACATATATTTCACTAAAAAGTGTAAATTGGTTGTTTTTGCGTTATTTCAAGCAAATTCGTACTTCCGGTTTGAAACGAATTTTTGAAGCTGCGTCACGGTCATGACATAATAGCGTGTATTACAGCGTGCAGACTGGGCGTCTGTGCCAGAGTGTGTCTTATTACGTCTTACAGTGTGATGCATTAATGCATGAGTAAGGCTTGGTTCAAACCAATCAGCGCGCTCTATTGTGCAACTTCATTAATATTCATTACTGTCACGGTGTTTACACGACAGAGACGACACGTTGTGTTGGCAAAACAAGCGTGAAGTGTTGCTTTTATAGTTTGCTGCAGTTAAGTTTCGTTTTCATTTTCTCTCTGTGAGAGCTCAGCTGGAGTCACGTGTGGATTAACAGTGGACGCGACGCGCGACAACAATAACTTACGTGTCTAAGGAGGAACATTGTTTACCTGAGAGCTGTTCTCATCTGCAAACACTGAGATCCGGATTCGCTTGTAGTCTTCTCTTAATAAAGACGCGGCTCTAGTTGCTGGTGATTGTCCTGTCTACAGATTTGGTAAGTGAGCGACCAGCGCTCTTTGTTTATTCAGTTTGTTCGTATCGAACTAAGTTAACTATTGCACCGAGTGTAAACATGTTAGCACCACAACCAAACTTTAACCTCGTGTAGGGTTTTCACCGCATTTTGTGACCGGAATAACACACGCAGCTTTCTGATGCTACCTGCCGTGTGCATCTAAGTTTCCGGGAAATGCTGAGGATTTTTTCTCTCATTCGCCGTGCGGTATCAAACATTGCATGAAAAATACACGCTTAGAGCAGTTCCTCGAATCAAATATCTCGTTTGTCGCGACGGGCATGAATGAATTCCCTGAATGAAAGAGCCAAACTGCAGTTAAAGTCCACCATTTAATAATTTGGCAAATAATTCGACTACAGATGTCCATGTAAACACAGTCACTCTCTCCCCTGTGTGTGTGTGTGTGTTTTGACTCTGAAATAGCGCGCCCAAATAGACACTCCCACACCATCCCGCTTTAGTTCCTCCGACACTCCCCCCTAAACAGAGCTGGACACGCCCACTTTTCAGACTTTTTTCAAAGTAGAGGTGTGTAAACACCCTGCTGAAACGAGGGGGTTTCATGGTCCTTTAAAGATAAGGTAGAAAGTGTAAAAAAGATTTTCTTGTATTACTATATTTATTAACTTCTGTTTCTGTAATGACAAGTCTTTCAAGACAAATTAATGATGAAGAAACTAAAATAAACAAATCCCTAGTAATGCTAAATCATTGAAATGTCACATCAAATGCATCTTATTAGCTAAAAAGGCTTGTTTGTGTGAGTATAGACCTTCTGAGCTCAAACTGTCCCTGATGTTTAAATCAAATGTGAGGTTCAGCTAGCTTTCCAGTGTTTAACCATGCTGTCGATTGAATGCTTACAAGTGACATTTTGCAGCTCAGCCAAGCAGCTGTTCTGGAGGAGACGTTGTTAGCACCATTTGGTCATGTACCTATTCAGGAGGTAGAAAATCAATTCCACACCTTCCTTCAATTGCTCTCTGCGTGCAGGAGTCTGCCGCTTGATTCAGCCGTATTTCCTTTCCTTATAGCGTGTGTATGCATTTTTTTCATAGCGCTGTTGTGTAAAGCTGTGTGAAACAAGTGACTATTGGTGTTTAAAAAGGTTTTTTTGTTTTCACTAAATATTTTCAGCGTAAAATGTGCATTCATAGTCGATGCGTTCATCAGCTCTGAAAATATATGTTTGTGGGCTTTTGCTTTGTTGAGTAAATAGATGCAAGTCATGCTTCATTTCAGATGGAAAACAAGCAGCTCAGGCTGTGAGTTTTAGCAAGATTTACAAAAAAAAAAATTGGATCCGTTTCTTGTCAGAGGAGTGGCAGCCATATGGGGAAAAATAACTGTTGCACATGCAAATAAACAATTATGCAATTAATATTCGGTTCTTCATAACAACCTGCTACAGTAGCTGCTCATTAAAACATTCAAATTAAAAAATGAAAATAATACTTGATTTTCCCAGTGATGGGTTGCAGCTGGAAGGGCATCCACTGCGTAAAACATATGCTGGATAAGTTGCCAGTTCCTACCGCTGTGGTGACCCCTGATTAATAAAAGGACTAAGCTGAAAGGAAAATGAATGAATTAATAAATAATACTTGATTATAAAATGGAGCAGTGGATAACAGTCAGCAGTGTATACAGGTGGTATGGAAAATATTCAAACCCTCTTAAATTTTTCACTCTGTTATATTGCAAGCATTTGCTAATGTTCATTATTTTTTCTCTCATTAATGTACAAACAGCAGCCTATATTGACAGAAAAAAAACACAGAATTGTTGTATTTACACTCACCGGCCACTTTATTAGGTACACCCTACTAGTACCGGGTTGGACCTCCTTTTGCATTCAAAACTGTCTTAATACTTTGTGGAACAGATTTAACAAGGTACTGGAAATATTCCTCGGAGATTTTGCTCCATATTGACATGATCGCATCACGCGGTTGCTGCTGATTTGTTGGCTGCACATCCGTGATGTGAATCTCCCGTTCCACCACATCCCAAAGATGCTCTATTTGGTTGAGAACTGGTGACTGTGCAGGCCATTTGAGTACAGTGAACTCATTAAACTGTTCAAAAAAGCAGTCTGAGATGATTTGTGCTTTATGACATGGCAGAAGATGGGTACACTGTGGTCACAAAGGGATGGACATGGTCAGCAACAATACCGAGGTAGGCTGTGACGTTGACATGATGCTCAGTTGGTACTAATGAGCCCAAAGTGTGCCAAGAAAATATCCCCCACAGCATTACACCACCACCACCAACCTGAACTGTTGATACAAGGCAGGATGGATCCATGCTTTCATGTTGTTGATGCCAAATTTTGACACGACCATCCGAATGTGGCAGCAGAAATCGAGACTTATCAGACCAGGCAACATTTTCCCAATCTTCTATTGTCTTATTTTGGTGAGCCTGTGTGAATTGTAGCCTTAGTTTCCTGTTCTTAGCTGACAGGAGTGGCACCTGTTGTGGTCTTCTGCTGCTGTAGCCCATTCGCCCTAATGTTGGACGTGTTGTGTGTTCAGAGATGCTCTTCTGCAGACCTCTGTTGTAACGAGTGCTTATTGGAGTTACTGTTGCCTTTCTATCAGCCTGAACCAGTCTAGCTATTCTCCTCAGAACCCTGACAACAGCAAGGTATTTGCGCCCACAGAACTGCCGCTCACTGGATATTTCCTCTTTTTCTGACCATGCTCTGTAAACCCTGTAGATGGTTGTGTTTGAAAATCCCAGTAGATCAGCAGTTTCTGAAATACTCAGACCAGCCCATCTGGCACCAACAACCATGCCATGTTCAAAGTGACTTAAATCCTCTGTCTTCCCCATTCTGATGCTCAGTTTGATGCGCAGATCGTCTTTACCATGTCTACATGCCTAAATGCATTGGGTTGCTGCAGAGTTGCTGCAGTTGGACAGGTGTACCTATTAAAGTGGCCGATGATTGCATAAATGCATACATTTTTATTCATTTCTGTAAATCTAGGTAATATATTATGGTGCATTTAAACAAAGCAATTTCACTGAATGGTTATAAAGATTAAAATAACAGTTTCCTTCTAAGAATAGAAGGAAAATACAAAATAAAATCCAACATTCTAGTTTATTTTTTTGTCTCTCGATTCTTCTTGTTTATTAAAATGTTCTTTCTAATTTTTGAACTGTGATCTTAAGTTTATTTTTTTGTAAGTTCAGTTCTAGATTTGGTTTTGGTAATGACTAATCGATTGTATACATAGATATATTATTGTAATGCATCCTATAGAATATATTAATTTAAAAGAGAGATCTGTGAGGGTTGTACTGCATATAAACACACTTGAACTTTGATGTGTTGTTATAAACAGTCGTGAAACTTGTTAAAGGAGGCTTGTTTTATGAATCTGCTGTGGATCTTTGAATATCGTTGCACAAACTTTTCATCAGTCTGTGATTTCTATTAAATTAAGCTCTATATTCACATATGTCAGTATCTGGAGCTCAGTAATGTAATAATGGCAAACAATCGTAGTCTCATAGTCTTAATGGCCTTGGATGTGTGAACAGAGCCACTCGACGGATAATTCAACTCTGTGTTGATCAAATTTGTTTGGTTGTTGGTTTTGCAGCTTGTCCTTGGCAATGTTTTCTTTTTTTTTTTTTTTTTTGCGGTTATGTGCTGTGTTTCTCTATTTGAAATTTGAAATAGATATTACTGATTTTCAGAAGTTAAAATTAGGGAAAGAATGTGTCGTCTGCAACCAGAACATTGCTTTACTTAAATCTCTTATAAATCCTAAGATTAATGGAAAAGTAAACTCTAATGGTGCGTTCACAGTTTGGGTGTAATTAGACGCTTGAACATTTTGAGTTTCTTTGCTTTATTCGCATGTCAAATTCACTTCACAAAACAAGCAAAATCACTTCAGTTTTGTTGCAAAATGGCCAACATGGATTTTGTGCCTAGATGCTGCTACTAGAACAAGCTCCTGATTGGCACGAATGTCCATCAAATTTCATTTTTTTTTCCACAGCGATTTGCGCAAATCACATGGAGCACAACAAATGGCTCATTTGGGTCAAATGGGTCATTAGCTCAAATCTCGCCATCAGCACACATACCGACGTAGAATGT